TGAAGAATGTGGCTCAAGGGAGAACTCAAAGCCCATTGCTTAACGTTCAGCAGAGAGGAAAATGCAAGTACTGTCCCTATCACTTGACTTGTTTTCCATTTTTATTTAGTTACTTGGCAAAGTCTTGGCATCCCGTCGTGGAGGAATGAAAGAGAAGTTCCAATGAAGGACCGTGCCCTTAAGGGCATCAGCCAGTGGATGGGTTGGGAGGCTGGGCAGGCTCGTTAAATTTCTTATTGTTGGGCAGAGGGATTAGAGTTTCCAGAGACGACTTGAAAAACATCGTCGTATGATACTTGCAATTTTTTCCTGAAAGGGAATTCTTTCTTCTCCTTCAACACTGTTTGCTTCTTGTGGTTGATACATACCTATGCTTTAAAATATCACAGCTACTAGGAGGGGCCATTTAATAGCAAAATCATTTCCCCTCACATTCTGTGATATTTCAGTTTTGCAGTAGAGTTTACAAGGTTTGAAATCAAGGCAGCATTGGTTCCTTCAGAGAAAACTGATCCCAATCTACCAAAATAAGAGCCAAACAGACTGTAATTGTTCCTTTTCCCACAAGGGGCTTGCCCTTTTTGAAGGTGTGGGTAATTTTGATAGGACCTTCTGTCTAACAGGGTTAGGCACTGAGAATTGCCTCTTCCCCTGGGTAAAACCCACTTTTAAATGTCATTTTAAAATAGACCTCAAAGTATCTTTGAAAATAAAAGTACTTTTGTATCTCTCCATTGTCTTACCCCCTCCCGCTCAGCAAGGAAACTTCAGTTTTCTCATAGGGCACTTCCTGCTGCAGTGTCTAATCCTAACTTTGCTCCCTGGTTAGCATTTACTTAACTTTTCACAACACATGGAGAGCATAATAAAAACGATGAAACTAAAATCTTTCCTAATTTAGTTTTTGTTTTGCCATCCATGTGTTGTGAAAAGTTAAGTAAATGCTAACCAGGAGCTAAATTTTTTTCCCTCAGTTTTGATCAAGTCTAGTTTCATAGATTTTACAGTGTCAGGATTTTTTCTATTGGTTGCTAGTCTAGTGTTCATCAGAATAGTCAGCACAAAAGCCTTAACTTTCCCCAGCCTTCTTACCCTACTTTGATTAAAGGTGCAGGATTGTACCTGTTCGCAATCCTTGTTGTCTGTCAGCTCTTCCACTCCTTGGGGACGTGAAAAACAGCATCTTTATGATACTTGCAATTTTTTTCTCAGTGCATAAGGATTTTCAAATCAAACCAAGCTTTTTTCTCCTGTCTCTTGTCCTCTTTTCTTCCTCCAGTATTGTACAGCCCATGATTTGTCAGGCACACACAGGAGGCTCCTGAGCCACCAGTCACATGAGAATGAAGGCAAGAAAAGAGAGGAGCAGATGGCATCAAAAGATACGCCTTTCTAGGTCGTTGGTGGTTAAGCTTGCAATCTGGTTACCAGCAGGGAGACTATGGGAGAAAGGGTGGAGAGGAGCACAGCACCATTGTAAGGGAAGAAGAATTGTGCCATACAGTTTACAGTCACAAGGTGCCCACTGCTCTTAGAGGTGTGCTCCTAAAAGTGGCATGTAAGCACATGTGCAGTATTTGGATGGCAACTTGGAAAGTGTGGCTCCCACCCTTGGTTGGCTACTATCCTGTAGCTGCCCTTAACCCTTTGTCATTCTACTCTCCAAATGCCTGATTCAGTTACAAATACAAAAACTGTAAGAAATGATGTTTGGCTCCCACAGATACACTTCTTCCCACAGGAGAGAGAGGACATGATTCACCTCTCATCCTTTACACTATTACCTATTTTGGAGAACTGTATTTACGAAACAGAAAATGACACCATTGGCCTTTGCGCGACGTGATATCGCATGTAAGCCGTATCTTGGAGTGCACTTGTAATTGTGGTACTTGACTGAAGGAATGTTCAGTAGTGGCTAATAACAAACAAATATTAGAGAGGACAGTGTGCCTTCCCTGTTCAGTGAGGCATTACTTACTCCTTGACTCCCTTGGCTTGTGCATCTCCTGATGTGACTGCACTATTGCAGATCACCAGACTGCTGAACTTGGCTTATAACTTTTTAAAATAGAATTCCACTTCAGTTGTTTTCCCTTGAATGAAAAAAACTAAGGTATTTTTAATTTTAGGATTCAACTTGATCTCAATATATGAACTTGTTTCCTTTACTCTTTTAATTCCCTTGAAAAATCCTTGCTTTTTCATAGACAAATTCAATATCCCTGAAGTCCAAAGTCAAGTTTCAACCTTTTATAAGTCTACCTCCTCCAATTACAATCTCTCCTTTTATTCAGTTTCTGTTGCCCTTGCTATCTGTATGACTCATTTCGTTATGAACCACATGAAACAAAACAATATATTTTGTTCTGTAGTCTAGATTTTACACTGTTAGAAGTGTACATTTCTTTTTTTACGCCTCCCACTCAAGCAAGTGTTTGGATCATTGCTGATTATACAAAAGTCATGTAATAAATATTCAACTGGATGATTAAAAAAGAGATAGAAAAAAAACATTTTAATATTATATTAGTGGGTTTCTGCCCAGATTTTAATATGACTTCTACTTGTCTCAAAAATAGAATATTGACCCACCCATTTTTCCCCTTGATGTAAAGAATCATTCTGAAGTTATTTTTCCAATATGTACACTGAATTTCTAAGAGATATTTCCTATACATACACTGAATTTCTTGTTTAAAGGAATTTAAACAAAATTGGCAAGTTATTCTTATGGCAACATAATTGTTAACTTTACTGGTTAGTTGCTTTGCAAACTTGTTTACATGACTTAATTCAGCGCTCCCTATTGGAAGCCTCTAGTTAATAGTAAAAGAGCCACCGGTCTCGCCAACGTCATATCATGAGTGCAGTTGTTAGGCCTATGCTATAATGAGCCTAATGAAGAGTTTAAAGGCTTTTTTTTTTTTTCCTGTGGATTTTGTTTTTTTAGTCTGCTCAGCATGAGCACTCTGTGATCATGTGAAAGACTTCACCTATGAGGTTTTCCAGTTAAAAATGAAAATTTTATTAAAGGCTCTGTGATTTGGGGGGGAGAGTGACTTTGTATTAAATCACTTTAAGGGGAATCCATTGATTTAGGGTAGGGGTCCTCAAAATACGGCCCACGGGCCACATGCAAATACAAATATTGTATTTGTTCCCGTTTTGTTTTTTTACTTCAAAATAAGATATGTGCAGTGTGCGTAGGAATTTGTTCATAGTTTTTTTTTAAACTATAGTCCGGCCCTCCAACGGTCTGAGGGACAGTGAACTGGCCCCCTGTTTAAAAAGTTTGAGGACCCCTGATTTAGGGAAAATAAAAAAAAATATTTTATCCACATCAGGTATGCCAGATTTCAGCCTGGAACTAATTTATTAGATTTGAGTTATTGAACTCAGGAGAGAGATTTGGAATGGAAATATTAACAGACCTTCCTAGCTTGGCTAGTGGGTATTGGAAGAATCTTAACAATTCATCAGCCAAGTCTCTGACTTTACTACCTTTAATCATCCTTGCTTGCCTACCCCTCTTTCAGATTTGCTAGCATTTGGAATTTCACTTGACATTATTTCATGTATATTAAGACAGATAAAGCATAGTTTGGTGAGTATGCTAATAAAACCATTTTGGCCTTCTTTGAGGAGAAATGGAAGATGTGTTTTATTCCTGGTACAGTTGAGACAGTTGCTGCTAAATGCTCAATTATAGCTCTTTAAGGAATAGGGGTAAACCATGGACACATTTGTGAATTTTCTTTCCAGATATATGATTAACTGCTGAATTACATTATGCCTTATGAAACACAGGACCAAAGATTCAGACTAGTATTATTTTAGAGTGGAAATTTGTACCCAGAACTCTCATCATGGTGATCATAGTTCCTTTAGGGTATAGGGAAGGTAAATCTATAAGGTTGTCTGCTAGCATTTCCAGGAGAAATTTCCTAACTTGCCCATAGGATAGGTGGATTAAAGAATGCAAATGACTTTTGGTAAAGAATTTTTCACCTGGCTTTTTCCCCATATGTAGAAAATTGCAGGTGGGTAGTAAGAGAAGAGGGAGAGAGACAGAAATAAAATGAAAAATTAATGAGTGCCCAGCCAGTGTGGCTCAGCAGTTAAGTGTCGGTCCAGGAACCAAGAGGTCGCCAGTTTGATTCCCAGTCACGGCACATGCCTGGGTTGTGGGCTTGATCCCCAGTAGGGAGCGTGCAGGAGGCAGGCGATTGAAGATGTTCTTCTCTCATCGATGTTTCTATCTCTCTATTCCTCTCCATTCCTCTCTCTCTAAAAATCAATAAAAACATACTTTAAAAAAGATTATCTTTAAAAAAACAACTAATGAGCTGGTACGCAAGGAACTGTTTTATAGGTTGTGGTTTCAGTAGTTAGAATTGACCACAGAGCCATATATTTTGCCTAATCCTATCCTAGCTGGTCACAGAATTTCGCTGTTCCTATTGTGTTGGATCATATGAAGTTGTTTTTATAAGTGAGAAATGGTTGAATATCAGCATGACACATAATAACATATAACCCTGTAGGACAGCTGTGTGTGTGTGTGTGTGTGTGTGTGGAAGGTGGAAGGGAGGATATGGAAATCTATGAGCATTTTATACTTCCTTGGGTTACCCCGCTGAAAACCCCTATTTTAGCCTTCAGTTTTAGCTATTCAGAATCAAATACAGTTGCCCTAGTCTGCTTTCCGACTTCCACATTACATTAATACAGTTGAGATAGTTTATGGGGCAGGCTAAAATGAAATAATCTCTGACAGATTACCATTGGGGATAATAATCTGACGTGGCTGTGGAGTACAGCAGAAATGGCAGGCTGAAAATCAGTAGGCATGCCTGCACTTGCAGATATGGAAGTAGGGGTGTAACATGGTTATAGACTGAATAATGTGCAAATTATTATTTGTCTTAAAATAGGTTTTAGGATATTTCTAGTGGAATATTCAGACTGTGCTTATTTGACTTTTTTGTCTTTCTTAGACGAGCTCATCTGCGCCTATGTTTAGAACGCTTAAAAGTTCTGATTCCACTAGGACCAGACTGCACCAGGCACACAACACTTGGTTTGCTCAACAAAGCCAAAGCACACATCAAGGTGAGAACCTTTACTTTCATATTTGCACAGGATTCTCTTGGTCCTGGTTTTATTAGAAGCAGTGATTCCTGTTCATTTACACCAACTAGCTCACCGTGCCCTCCTTAATAACCGAATCAAGAGAAATCTAAAAATTTATCAGCTAATCTGATGGGAAGGAGCAACATAACCTGATGAAAGTAATTGTTTTGACAGCATGGCCGTTTGAAGAGCTGGGAATACTTAGGAAAATAACAATTACTCTGGTGATACCCAGAAGGAAGGCAGTTCTGCCCTCTGGTGGAGATGACTTCATTTGGCTGTGTCCCTCAGTATTTTTCCATCAAACTACACTCCAGAGCCAGTTTCTCTTTCGTGGAGATAACTTTACAGACTTTGAGAATTGCATACTGTTCTAGTAAATGTGGCATGCATTATACACACACCCATACACACACCCCCAAAAAAGTAAAGAAATAACTATTTTTGATGTACTTATGTGTTTTAATACACACACACACACACACACACACACACGTATTTGTAGTATATTCATTCATGTCTAACAAAGAAATCTTTTGAGATGTTAGGTAAAAATAAGTTTTACTGTTTGTACTGGGTTATACACAAACTTAAATATCATTTTAGAAACTTGAAGAAGCTGAAAGGAAGAGCCAGCACCAGCTAGAACACTTGGAAAGAGAACAGAGATTTTTAAAGCGGCGACTGGAACAGCTGCAGGGTCCTCAGGAGATGGAACGAATACGAATGGACAGCATCGGATCAACTATTTCTTCAGATCGCTCTGATTCAGAGCGAGGTAAGCAGTGTGCTACTTCCCTAATGAAATACTAAGAATCCCTGTATCTGTATTTAGGGAACATAGGTTGGGAGGCACTGTATTTGCTTTTTACTCTTTGGCCAACATTGTAATATTCTAGATTTTAGGCAATCACAACATCGTCTAGTAATGCCCATGTGAACTATAGAACTTTTTTTTGATTATATATGTATTTTTAATTTTCTACTTTGAAACAATTTTAGACTTAGAGAAAATTTTTCTGTAGAAAATTACAGAGTTCTCATATATCCTTTACCTAGGTTTCCCTAATGTTAACATCTTTATATAACCATAATGCAGTATCAACACCAGGAAATTAACATTCATGCAATACTGTTAATCTATAGGCCTTATTCAAATTTTACTAGTTTTCCTACTAATGTTCTTGGCCTGATACAGGATCCAGTGCAGGATTCTACATTGCATTACATAGTTCTTCAGTATTTCTTTCATGACCATGACACTTCTGAAAAATATTGGCTCGTTATTTTATATAGTGTTGCTCAATTTGAGTTTTCTGATATTTTTCTATTAATAGATTGAAGTTATATATTTGGGGGAAGAAATATCAGAAAGTGATAGTATGCCTTTCTCAATTTATTGTATCAAGAAGATACATGATGTTGATATGTCTTATTACTGGTGATATTAATTTTTATACCTGTGTTTTAAAATGCCATATCCGTCATTTCTCTTTCCATCTATCCCAGAACATTTGTCTCTGGCAGAATTTAAGAAGAAAAATCAACCAAAAAGAAATTATTTGAATTTTACTGATCTACTCATCTGTAGCTCTTACTACATCAGAACTCACACCACAGTAAAGGATCCCAGAGGTAAACTCTGGTGATTTTAAACTTTACATTTGGGAAAATTGAGCTCATGAGATTCTTGAGGTTTCTAAAAAAATTTTTGCAAGATTTCTTGTTTTGACTTTTTATTATGGAAAATTTCAAACATATACAAAAGTAGAATAATGAACTCTCATGTACCTAACATCCAGTTTGAACAGCTGTCAACATTCTGTCATTCTTGTTTCATCTGTTCTCCCACCGTCACCCGCACTCTCACCCTCACCATTTTCTCTTGAATGTTTGAAATCAATCCCAGAGAACATTATCATGTTTTCTATAAATACTTCAGTATGTACCTTAAAAAAATAGGACTTTAAAAAATAGAATTATATTATTATAATATCCCATAAAATTAATAAAATCAGATGCTCTTATTCAATGCCATAATAGATATTTCTCAAAAATGGCATTTTACCTTTGGTATGTATGAATTAGAATCCAAAGTCCACATAGCATTTGTTTGTGCCTTTTAAGATACTTTTTATCTATAAAATTTTCCCTTCCCCACTTTTTTTCCCCGAGTACCATTTATTTATTATAGAAACTAGGTGGGCCATTTTTCTTATAGAATTTCCCACATTTTAGATTTGGATGATTCAGTCTTCATGGTGTCACTTCATGGTGTCTTATTTCCTGTAAACTAGTTGGTAGATCTAGTTGGGTTGATTAAATTCAGGTTCCTTTTTTTTTTTTTGAGGCAAGAATACTTCATAGGTGGTGCTGTGCACTTCTTGGTGCATCAATATTGTGTCCAGTTGTCTCACTCTAGTGAAAACATTGGTTAGTGGGTTCAGGTATTGTCATCTTGATAATTTTATGAGAATGTTTCAACCTTTCACTTACTAGTTTTAGCAATCATTATTGCCCTGATAATTATTTCAATGGATGTTACAAAATAGTGATTTTCTAATTTTATCATTCTTCTTATGTTTAACTTTTTCTTCTATAAGGAAGAACATTTCCTTTAGAGTTTATGGTTACTCTGAAATAAAGTCCACATGGGGAAAATGGGATGTTTGTTTTTGTTTTATCAATTTTCTGAATAAGTTGGTGCCTTGGTAATAGGGCATTTTGTTTTGCTATTTCTTTTTTATTATCTTATGAACTCATGTTTTCATGTATTGAATGTGTTCAAGTCCATTGTAGTCATTCTTTTTCTTTTTAATACTCAAATTTTCTATATTCCGTAGGAGCCTTTTAAACTGTTTTTTTTTATCCCTTTTAACACACACTAGGAGTCCTTAGGTCTGTTGTTTTTCTTATGTAAAAGTTTGTTTTTATGTGGCACTCAATTTTGAAGAACAAAAATTTACTAGGGGCAACAGCAAGAACCTCTAGGACATGCTACATTTATGAGTGACCGTGAGGTATAGCAGAAATACTCTTGAATTAGGAGGCAGACCTTGATCCTAGTCTTTTTTTCTAATGCTTACGCACTGTGACCTGTCAGGTCTTCACGCTTTAACTGCTCTTCCTGATGTTATCTCCTCCTCGTACCTACCCACCTCCAAATTTTAGAGGTTGTATATTCATCATTATAGTTCTCATTTTTTTAGTATCCCCAGTATATTAGTTACCTTATCTAGTATTATTCTTGTTCTTATCTGACAGCCCTCTTTCCCAGTAACTTTTAGTAACAATCTCTATTCCATTTGGCTAGAGCATGTCTCATTTTACTTTGTTTTGATTTGAGTTCAGCATGCTTTGTTAGATAGGGTGTCTTCATTTTATTTTGCAATTGGAGGTTGAATGCATATTCTGTGATACTAGGAAACACTAAATAGCCTGTGAAGCATTGTGGTTATGAAACAAATAGTTATGAATTCATAGGATTATTTGTACAGCTTGTTTGGACAGCTGCCTGCATTTTAAAAACAGATCTCTAAAACTTTTGAAGCAACAAGCCCTTTTGAAAATTATACTCTTTGAACTAACTTACTCTGTCTTCTTGGGCTCAGCAAGAATCCACTTTTCCTAAAGCAATTGTGATCAGTGTGAACCCTTAAAGTCAGTGCCAAATGTGAAACATTAGGCTTTGAGTTTGTTTTAAGAGAATTGAAGAACCTTGAGTTCATTCTAGCTATTATGGGAGAAAACAGCTTTTCAACTGCCTTTTATTTTTTAAAATGTGTATTGCTTTTTATATATTATTGGTGATTGTATATGTAGTACTTAACAGTTGAGATATCTACCGATAGCTGGGTAATATGTATTTAGACTTTTTTCCATCAAATTTGATTTTTGAAGTTAAATACTACCACTGACATGCCTTTACTATAGAACTCACTATAATCCAGAGACTTTAAGCATTAGACCTTCATTTCAAGCTATATTTGATGCAAGAAAATTAAATTGAAGACAAATCCCATAGTCTACTTTATAATGACAGGCTTATTTTGGTTACTGAATAGTCAAATATCTTTATGATGAATCTTAGAAGTCTGAAGCACTGTTGGTAGAATGATACTACCAAAGGCCTGGGCGGATAAATTTTTTAGTTTGTCTATATTAAGTTTATGCTTTCCTCCCCTCCACCCCCCTTAAAGCAACTCTGATTAATAAACAGACTGAGAATTAGTTTCTAGTTTAATGCAAAACAGATGTTGTTAAACCATTTGGGGTTGGGATCTTTTAATATTAAGCACTAATTCCCAAATAGGCCAAGTGCTTTTGGTGGGAGGTCCAGACAGACTGGCGTCAAAGGCTTTAGTAAACTTGCTGCCTAAATTGAGACCACCACTGTACACCAGACATTCCCTTTTGTAAAATATATCCATGTCTCTTCACCTATGGTTCCTTCTGTTCTCCAGACATCACTCATAATAAACTTGTTTAACAATTATTTTATACTATAAAAAGTAATCACTTTTCCTCGTTAGTTTTTTAAAGTGCCCATAAACTAGATTACTAATGTTCTCTTTTTCCCCTTTGGCAGAGGAGATTGAAGTGGATGTTGAAAGCACAGAGTTCTCCCATGGAGAAGTGGACAATATCAGTACCACCAGCATCAGTGACATTGATGACCACAGCAGCCTGCAGAGTATTGGGAGTGACGAGGGTTACTCCAGTGCCAGTGTCAAACTTTCGTTCACTTCCTAGAACCCAGCATGACATAACAGTGCAGGGCAAAATACTCACTGGGCCAATTCAATCCAAACAATCTCTTAAATTGGGTTCATGATGCAGTCTCCTTTAAAACTAACCTAAACAAAATCATACTTGAACAAAAGGGTCAGAAGACCTCTATTTAAGCAAATACTTAGCAAAATGTGGGGCAGAGCCTCCCCAGCAGAACAAATATTCATTAATATTCATTTTTGAAAATCACAATTTCTAATGGCAGCAGAAAACTTGTGTGAAATTTTCTTGACTTGATTTAGTTGATTTGAAAGGACATTGGAAATTCCATCCTCTTTTTTTCTTTCCTAGATTGCTCATAGTGTAGACACATTTAAGGATGGTATTCTGAACCCTTCCTGAGCTTTATGATCCTAAAAACAAAATCAGATCTATAATAATGGCAAGACAAGATAATCAGGCATTAATCTTGGATAGCTACACAGCTATTAAAACTTAGCCTGGGCTAGCTTATCATGAAGCCTGTGGATGATCAATTCTTTAATTAAAAAAACAAACAAAAACGCACACATTCATTTCATGCTCTGCGAAAGGAGAGACTCCCATGAAGCCTTTTGAAAGGGATCATCGTGCAGCTCAGCCATCTGTTGGATTCCATGCTAAGCAAGCCAACCTTACCCTGCATTGTTAGCACTAGGGCACCCAGCCGCCAGCTCGTTAGCCACCCTGGGGCAGTTCATGCGTGACAGCCTCTCCCACATAGGGCCTGAGTTCGGATTGAGGGGCCAGAAGGAAAAAGCTCCACGTGCCTCTGTGTCTGCATGGGCCAGAAGAGTTGTGCACGCAGATTAGCAGGCCAAGGTCTGAGCCACGGCAGCATTTTTATTTCAGATTTTGATAACTGTTTGTATGTGTTAAAAACCAAAATGACATCTTTTTAAAGCTTGTCCATAAAAACAGATGTCTTTTATAGTGGAAAAACATGTGGGGGGAAAAATCATCTATTTTGATGCAGCATTTGATAATGATAAAACGCCTCACTCTTTATAGTGCACAAAGTGAATGAGGTCTGAGCTAGGTAGGAAAAGGTCAATGCTGTTTTTGTCTTCTTTTAGAATCATTACCAGCTTTTATCCATCTGATATCTATAGTAGACACACTATCATAGTTAACATAGTTAAGTTCTGGACTTGTCTCATTTTAATGTAAAGATTTGCTTCCGTTTTCCTACAGGCAGACTCTCTCCTTCCTCACAGTCCCACTGTGCAGGTGCTATTGTTGCTCTTATCAATATTTTCAGAAATGTTATTTTAAGTGAAATTCCTAGCCTGCACTTTGATGTCGTGTGTTCCCTTTGTCCTTCAAATTCCCAAGTTTTCTCCCTGGCCTCGCCTCTCCCTTACCCCAGGAAACCTTCTTGGAGACCTCCTTACCCCTTTGACTTTAAAGGCTCTTTGAACTTTGTATACTTTAAATAATTTAACTACCCATAATTACTTTTTAAAAAGCTTTATGATTTTCATAACTTATTGCTGATTTTAATGGGTTGTTAATTTCAGTCCTGTAGTTTTATTTTGTTTAGATAGGGCTGGGCAAGGAAAAAGAAAATAAAGACAACCATATTTAGCAGTGCAGTTGAGTTGTGTGTGTAATAATTAGACTATCCTTTGTAAGTAGCACTTTAACAGCTTTCACTGCTTCTATGTATGAAGTGTACCATCTTGGTCATACACAAGGCCTCAGCATATACTTACTTGTTCTTGTGCTCTTCCTGTGCCTCAAAAATATTTTATCCTTGATTGTGCTGTTTGAGTGGAAGAAATTCTTTCAAGTACATGTGTGAAAAACTGCATGCCTTTAGAAGCCCATTATTAGAACTTGCTACTTCAGGTGCTGGGGACTCAAGGAAAAATATAAATTCATTTCTGTGGCCCAGGTAAATTATTTCTGGTTTCATTTTAAATTCCTCTTGGCTAGGTCAAAATGTTGCTCTTATGTTGCTTACTTTTGACTTTCCCGAAGACTCTGCTAACTACCATGGAAAGTAAATGGAAGCCAATGACTAAGCTGCCCTTTTTACTCCCATGGCATTCACTTGCATCACTTGCATCACTTGCCTAGGGCTGGAATTTGGGACGATTCATTCAGGTGAACTTGAGGTGCTGCCATTTGGATGGTGGGCTGAGAAGACTTTGTCACGAACCTAGAGTACCTATTTCAACTGCCCCCTAAATTACTCCTTCCCTGGGTTTGTTTTACTGGGGGAGGGGGGTGGGTTGTATGATGAGTAAGAAGTATTACTTTTTTAAAAGACAAATCGACTTTGAAGATACAAAAGTTAATTGCAAGAAATAAAAATTGTGAATGAATAATACCGAGTGCTTTTTGTACCACCCTTCTCTGTGAAGGAAAAATATATAAATGAGCATCTACACCTTGAGGCAACTGTCACCTAAATGTTTGTTGATACTACTTCAGTAGTCCAGAATTAATGGCAATTTCAATCACTGCCATTTCCTATAATTTAACAGGTGCCTTCTTGACTGATAATTCCACATAACCTAATTGCAGATAGTTTATTGTATGTGATACTTAACTGCTTCAGGTAGGACACAAAGCCATGTCATGCATAGCTGTTCTCCAAATAACTTTTTAAGGAATCTCTTTGGCTACACTTATAATTCACATTGAAACCTAGTCTGGAAGCTCACCTGAGAAGGTACCCTGTATGGAAAAGCCTGAGTGATGGTGCAGGTAAATTTTATTTTAGTGCATATTACCAAAGAAGATTGTGATGATGCCACTGTTTCTCTAGTTTCTGATTAGAATAGGTATAACTCCTCTGGTGACAATGACAGCTTTTAGTATTATAAAGGAATTTTAAGTGAGGATTACTGAGGCAAAACTCCTAACCTAAGGCCACACTGCTTCCTGGGTCATTTCTCATGAGAAAATTGTTTAGTCCTTGGGAAAAGTTTTTTGGTGAGTTTCTCTTCTGCTTAAAGCAACAAGCTGCCTTTTCCCCTTTTTTTAACTTCCACCTAAAAAATTCCATACTCCCTGTCAAAAACAGCATCATGTGGTAAGAAAAAGGGTTTTGGTCACTTTAAATCCCAGTTCTAGCATTTGCTAAGGACCCTGGGCAAGTTGCTTAATTTCTTCATAGGGACTATTTCCTCCTAAAAAGTTGTGATAAATACCCGTCTCAAAAGGTTGTAAGGATTAATACTGACATATGTAAATTATACCACCCCCTCAACCTAGGAGTTTGTAGCACCAAAAGGAAACTAAGGTATGTAACTTCTCTACTTTCTCTGATGAATGCAATCTTCTAATCTCTTCATCCTTAATCCTGAATATTAGTTATTCTGACTAGGTCTTTCTATTAAATGAAATAGCTCATTTTCACAAAATTACATAGCAGGTTATACTTTGTAAGACGTCAATTTTTATGTCCTAATAATTTTTAAAAATAAAGCCTTTACAAGATTGATGGATCATCAGTTTTAGTAATTATCTGGATCTAAAAAAAGGGGGGGGCGGGCATGACTACCCTGAGCTTGAGAATACTATGTATACATTGATAGTCGCTACTGCATAATTGAACGTCCTAGTTAACATTTAGTGTTGGCTTTGCCAAGGGGGGGAAAAAATTCTTCCTGGCCCATTTACCAGATCTAACAGAAAACTAGTTTTCTTGTGGAATACATCTGATCCTTTTAATTAATCAGTATAGTTCAAAATATATGTACTGGCTGGCCATTTCTTGGTTGTTTTAACTTCTATAGAATCATAAATTAGGAGACATGGCTTAAATGAAGCTCTTTTCAAGTACTGCCAGCTAACTTTCTGAAATTTTGGAATTTTTCCCATTTCCTCAAGCTCTTTGCTATGGAGGAATGCTTAATAGGGCAGTACTTGGGACATTTAGCTTAGATTTTCAAACCAAGCACAGAATAGCATTGTAAAAACATAAAAGCCATAAAAAATACAAATTTAAGGAGTCAGTTTCTTCTCAATTAGCTTCATCAACACTCTGAAAGCTAGAATCAACTAAGTCTAACAATACTTTTGGAGGGAAAAACTGGGCAAAGGAACCAAAGGGATACTTACTCCTTCCTGCATACTTCTGAGCAATGAACACCTGGACAATTACCATCTATTAAAGACTAGCCTAGCTGCAGACCTCAGGATTCAAAATCTTAGTTTTCCAAGGACTTAAAAGTCAAGCGTTTCCTCCAAGCCTGAATTATTTCTCTGGTCAGAAATTCACTGCATCTTGCTAAAGTGAGTACAGGGCTTGAAAGGGGGGAAAACAAAACAAAAGCACATCAGTTTCACCAAGAAAGGGAAATCATGAGCCAGCAAAATCACAACCATGACTTTTGGCCTCAAGTTGAAAAGGTAGCTCTTCAAATAGAAAGCAAACCTTTTCTCATAATGAGTATAACCATGGCTTCTTTAGCTGTGCTCTTAAAAAAGACTGAGGATACAAATTATAATTTTAATTCCAGTAACCTAAGTCTGTACTGGTTTCATAAAAATGAACTGGTGAGGTGCTTGGTGGAAGTAAACTACCAGTTTTTATTTCTGGGAACAAAGATAATTTAAGTATCCATAATTTGATATTTTTAGCTAGTTCAGCTGTCAACTACCACAAGCCATGTTAGTCTCAGATCTGCTTTACCTCAAGGCCATAATAGAACCACCTCTATGTACATAAGCTGAAAGGCAAGAGGAGGCGATCAAAGAACTTCACAGAAATCTAAAATCTTCCATCTGATGTTTTCTTTTGCTATTTATTTTTAGCCAGGCCAAAACAAATTCTTAGAATGTCAATATTGGTTTCTGAACCTCTTAAGAGCATATCTATACAGATATGCTTGTTAAATATCATAATGTAAGGGGATTCAATTACTTGGGTTTTTGTTTGTTTAAACTACGGTATTACCTGTTATTTTGCCTGCTATGCTCTTCCTTTCCACTGCAGTAAAAATTCAGTGTTTAGCTTGCAACTCAAAAATCCTAGATACAAAGAATGTTCATATTTACTTGTAAATTACCATTTATAGTAATTGGTTGCTTCATAGTATAATACAAATACTTAATACAATTCAACAGGTATTTATCGAACTCTAAAGATTTTAAAATATAAACCTTGTTGGGTTTTAATAATTTTATATTTCAGTTAATATCAAAGTTAAGGCAAAGTCAAATCAAAGCTTTAAAAATATTTTTTGCCTGAATTTGCAAGTGGTTTTGTCTCTTTTAAGAATTACAATCTACAGACACACAATTTACAAAACTATGGTTTTTCCTTTGTTATTTGGTTTTCCTTTGCTACATTAAAGGCAGGCTCACTCAGCATTAGAACTGCATTGTAGTGGAAACATACACATGGCACCCTTTTGTGAAAAACAAGCATTTTTTAAAAATGAGTTATTACAATAGATGGATGCATTTCATTTTAGTTTGATGCCTAGTCTTCATAATTGGGCTAAGAAAACTGCCACTTATTAATGTAATTTTTCCTTCATTTCAAAAACTGCTTTTATACAGGGTGGACAAATTCGTATGGTAAAAGACATGCAAGTTATGATTGTTACAATAGCTTTAACTCAAAAGAATGTCACAATGGCATAGTAAACCTCCTTTTGTGCACCCCTGTATTTACCCAAAAACATGTTTCTCAGCCAGAGATGTGCATCAGAATCACCTGTGGAGTGACAGCTATATCTTGGCTTAGATGATTCTGAGGTAGGATCCAGGAATTCCTCTTTAATTTTAAACAAGCATTAGGGATGATTTTATTATAACCTGTATCCCCTTCCCATCAAGAAACATGCCTAAGACATTCTAATATAAAAATCTTAACCTTTACTAGGGTGTACTTATAAAGTTTGATAACATTTCAGTAGCATGTTTATAATTAGGGGCCAAATTGTAAGCAATGGGCATTATTATACATTTTGATATGAATTATTGTTCAAATTAAGGAAAAAAGATCAGGGGCTGGGGGTGGTCAGGGAGAGGTCAATGGGGGGAAAGGGAGATATATGTAACACTTTAAACAATAAAGAATTTAAGAAAAAAAAGGAAGAAAGATCAGATATTCACCATTACCACTCTGCACAGTAATAGCTAAACACTTCTATAGTGCTTACCACATGCCAGATACTCCACTAAGCACTTTACACATATTAACTCATTCATCCTTACAATTTATTGAAACAAATTATTCTACAGCTGAAAACTGAATCAAAGAGGAGTCATACACACAGGTAATAAATAAGGAAGCCAGGATTCAAACAGCAGTCTGATTCAAGTCCTTGCTCTTCTAATATGGTCTTTCTACATATTAATTTAAAAAGCATGTTATCTGTGATTAATACTACAATTTTAAAGTTTACATATTTTGGGAACGTTAGGACTGGTCTTGAAGAATTCTTCAACTGTTCAATAACAACAAAGTCAAATGTCAAGTTCTGAAAAGATGTATGCAACCATAGCTATTTGGGAGCCCTAAATGACTGACAGCACGATCTGTTAGTTACTGAGCTTGTCAAGCCTTTCTTGATGGGAAATTACATTAAGCTTCATAAGACCAAGTGTTACATGACACAAGACAGATACTCTCTCCAGGCGTCTTAACTTTTCGTTTAATCCAAAGACACTATCATCATCCTGGTATCTCAGACTTTTCAGAGCCACATCTAGGTCTTTTGACACAAGATCTCATGCTACATATGCCTATTTTAAAAAATATATTTTATAGAATATGGTCACCTTTACTCTTTTCTCCTCCTACTGCAAAGCCCTCCAGAAAAATTAATGTACAGAAAGGAAGGCCCATAGGGTCAAACAAAGCACAAGTCTCAACACAAGTCTTGCCTACACAAACACCAGGTGAGTGATAAACATACCAAGGTAATCTCACCAAAAACCATTTGGTGTGGCCACTCAATTATACCAAATGTCTGTCCTGTGGTTTTTCATTAAAAGGGTACAATTGCAATCCTTCAAGGATACTGTTGATTAGTATGTTACAATTAATAACGAGAGCATTAGTATATTTTATTTATATGTTTTTCAAGCTATGTGGCCCTTTTTCTACTGTAATATGTACCTTGTATGTAAAAAACGTTTCACCTTTTTTTCTATCATGTGCGCTACTCAGTGGCCAAAAATGAAAGGAAAAAGTAATCTCCTGGGTTGGGAGGTGGAAAGGCAAGATGAAAAATTCTACCTCACCACTATCCTCCTGAAAGTTTCAATTTACCAAAAGAATTAAAATACATGAAATAAAAAATTTTATTTTCCCGGTAGCAAAAATTTATAAACTCCAAACAGAGCATAAGCCCTTAAAATTGGTTTGCCCTTTAGAATCTAATTCTTTATGTCTAATGGAAGGGGAGTAGGTAAGGATTTATCGAAACCTTTAACATACTCATTTTCTTTTGCAGAAATGATGTATGCAAGTACAGTGAGGCTTAATCATTATCAATGCTGGGAGCTACTAGTAAGATTTTACCTTTGTCATAACACACCCTGGAGATTTTAAAAACACTTTATTTAATAAAAGTTAAACATACAAAAACTGAAATTAACACATCCTGAAAATCACTGACTTCCATTAACAGGAAGACACTTTTCTATGCATATATTTGGCTTAAACTCAACTCAGGATAAATGTGATGTTCACTTATACCAGCAAATGCTGACAACTTGATCTAGTAAACAAAAATTACAAACTCAGCTACATGAACATAATATACAGGGGATTATGGTCAGATTAATGCACAAGAAATACAGTCAATTTTTAATGATGAAACATTCAGTACTCTTGTTCATTAATTTAGCTGTTTTTTTTTCTTTTTTTTTACAAAAATAGTATCTACACTGTATACAGGGCTATACATCAGCTTTTTGTTTTCTCATATAAACATTTCACATCCAAAAAAATGGTACCACTACCCTATGTGAAAAACCAACACAGGAGGGGGGGAAAATTAGAAAAGGTAGCTGGTGCTAAAACATGGTTTTTTACATAAAACTAAAACTCAATGAAAAGAATAAAAGAGCTGGATACATTTTAGAGATGGTCTAACAGGCTTAGAAAACAAGTTATTAAAGGAAAAACCTGAAAACAGAATTGGACTTTTACAAGTTAACTTATTTTTTAGGTTTAATTGGCCAATAGCCAAGTTTAAGTTGAAGGTAAGAAAAAAAAAAATCTCTGTAAAGTTTGGTGTTTTGCCTTGATATTCCAGTGAATTGCTTTCAGAATATGTGGCAAGCTTTAAGGTACTGAAAGTTCCAGGTTAGGACTTTACAAAATGTATGGGGCCTGATATCAGGAAGATCAACAATTCATCTAAGTGCTTTATTTAAGCAGCATCTATCTAGAAAAGTTGCGTTACCCAACAAACTTTGAGGAAACTGTGGTAGTAGTAATGAACCAAGTTAAATGAATAGCGGTTATCAAATGCAATTTCTTCAAGTTTCATTCTATTGACGTCAAACAATGACAACAATGGTATCTTCCTTACTCATCTAACAAATAATTTACCTTTAGAAAAATATAAGGATAAAAAGGTAAATGTAAAGCCCTGCAGAGATGAAATCCAACAGTTTTTCTGATTATTGAGGCATCAAATGCCTGACATTGTATTTAGAGGTATCTTGATACTGTGTCATAGGTTTATCAGCAATTCCACAAGTTCCTACTCCAACTTTGCCAGTTACACTCTCAGGTGAAGCAAAAATACTCCTCTTTACCTAGGGGAAATGAAACAGAAACCATTCTTGATTAGTTTTGGAAACAATAAAAATTACAAAATATACTTAGGAGAAAAAGAACCTGAATGCTCTTTTAAATAAAATCTACCAATGATGTCCAGCATAAAGGCATGTTAACAAAGCAAATGTGGTACAACACACCCTCTTGTACGTGGTAAAACAGCAAATAATTTTTCAAATTTTAGTTTACAGAAAGGAAAAAAACTAGATCTTTTGTAATTCCTGATATAAATTCTCATTTATAGTATTTCTATTGTAGAGACAGTGGCTAATGTAGATTCTTTCAGTAAGCCAAACTGAAGATTGAAGAGAATTCTGAATTTAAGATCCAGTCATGTATTTTTAAAAATCTGTGTACCTCCTTTTTCATTTTAATGACAGCCGCGCTTTTCAAATTTACAAAATATGATGACAGGATTTACTAACCTGGCCTTTTTTGTTTTTAGAATAGGCCCTGTTGTTGAACTGTTGCCATTTCACTTTCTGGTCCTCTCTCTCCTGCTCAAGTTCTTTTATTCTCTGTGCTTTTTTCAAAGCTTTCTTCTTTTTATATTCACGCTGCTGAGCAATCATTTCTTTTCTGTGTGGATATAACAACTAAATGTCAACTCTTTAAGATTGAACAGTTATGCTCAATTAAAACACGACTTCCTGGGGATATTTAATAATACAAAAAAAAAAAAAAAGAAGAAAAAAGAACGAAAATGAATAAACTTACATACTCTTCTCATGAATAAAAGCACTAACATCAACGCCAATGACCCAGTGCTACTAATAAATGTTATTTGAAATATATCGTGCATACTTGGAAACTTTCAAATATAACAATAACAGTAATCTATTGCCCATTTAAATAAAATATTTCAACTATGACTTTTTAGCTGATGTTTACATAGCTTTTGCCAGTTGTGTTTTAGGAATAAGATGAGTGTCAACAGATGTCTAAACCTTCTATTAATTTCTAAGTGGACAGTTAGCAAGTGTAAAATGCTGCATTTGGAAATAGTGTATGAAGAGATTAGAGGAACATAAATCCCTATTTCATTTAGATTGGAAGAGCACAGGAGCACAAAGGGAAATCAGAGCTAACAATTCTTAACACAAAAGCAACTGGGGTTTTCCAAAAACAGTAAATAAGATTAGAGCCTAAAGCTCCCATAGTAAGTTCTGCTTAGTTAACACTGAGGTCTCACCAAAAAAAGGATGAAGGAAGAGGTCTTTAAAAAGAGGTAATAAGATCTAGATTCCTTTGTATCATATAATCACCACTATGAAGCCAAGTGTGGCTTTTCATACGTCAAAAATTAAAAATAAGAGATGCTCTATAATCTGATTTTCTTATTGGGTTGCTTAAATCAAATGTAATTTTAATAGATGACAATTTTCTTAAATTCAAATATATTTATGTAGCAACTTAAGTTTTGAAAACTCTTTGACAAATCCAAAAATGTAGATACTATTTCCCTGTTTTCCAGATGAGGAAACAGAAGATAGGCAACTTGCTCAAAGTCATACCTTCTAGTATGACTAACTCCTTTTCTTTTCAGATCTCTAAAGTTTAGATGTCATTTTCTCAAAGTAATTTCCCCGAATGCCTAAGTGCAGTTTAGGTACCTGTTCTTTGTGCCCTTAAAGTACCCATTATGTTTCATTTATAAACTCAGTCAGGACAAGGTCCAAGTTGGTTTTCTTCACTGTTGTAGAACTCCAGCATCTGGGTTAGTGATAATATATATAGTATCCACTTAAAAAATACTTACTAAATGCCTAAGTGGAAACCCAAATGTCCTCACCTTACCCAGGCATACAAATACAGAGAATGAATAACCTTATATTGCTAATCTTCAAAATAATGGTAAGCAGTATTATAACCTTCTTATCCTAAACTAGCCTGCACAGATTCTGCAGACCACCTCAAATACCCAAATGGGGACGATTACACTTAAAATGCTAAAAACACACTTACTTGGACATGGGTTTGCTGCCACTGTCCTCCTTTGCCTTCCTTCCTTCTTCTACAGGCTTCAGGTTCAACAGTGGAGTCACTTCAGCATTGCCATAGCCAGCAAAGGTGATTGCAGCAGTGCCGTTTTCTTCATCTATCTCCTCAATCTCCGCTTCATAACACCTGTAAAGATATCATGGCTGTAAGCAGGTGAGTAAAGGTTTAGTACTCAGCCTACAAGACTTACACTGTAGTGATTCAACTATTACATGTGCTTAAAATAAAAGTTCTGTAATCAAATGACCCTTTGGCAAAGATAATGCAAGAGTGGTTGGAGTTAGCCATCTGGTATCCTAAAAGGAAGTCCTAATCAATATTTGCCAGGAAAGTCTCTTACATGTCTACTAACAGTGCTTTAGTCAATCTCTTTGAGAAAAGATATTTCTTATAGGAATAATTTCAGTGTGTGTACTTCATGGACATCTAAGACAGCCAACCATTCACTCAATTTTCAATTTGAAGAAAAAAGAATTTAGATTATTTTTTAAAATATCCATTTTCCTCTGCTTTCAGTTTTCTTTCCTTTGGGATCTTAGCCATTCTTCTGCCCCAAAATTTAATCCAAAACTAAAACTAAACTGTATTAATAGTAACCACCCAAGAATCAAATTGGCTCTATTAACCACATTGGCTATATAGAAAGATTAAAACAGGGTAGTCGAACTGAATAAAAACATCTTACCATTGTATATTAATATTTCATGTTATAGTTAGTTTTTTTCTACACTTACTGTCCATCTTCACTCCAGATTGCCATACATTTGTCCCCTACTTTCCATGAATGAGTGGGCTGAGCAGAAGCAAAACAGTCTGAACTTGCAAGAGTTTCTGAAGGTTGAGTTGACAGAAGGTCTTTGGTTAGTTCTATAACTTCCTAGAAAGGAAAACCAAAAACCATAACATTATTTTTATAATTCACATTGTCACCTATTTTCAACAAGCAAGTTCTTTCATTTTTTTATGACAACAGCTCTCACCATATAGCACTTACATACTCTACAGTTATTTGTAGTTCATAACAAAAGTATAGTGTATGTACTGTGATTATCCCCATGCATAAACTGAGATACAGTATTTTATACAGTGTGGAGCTGAGATTTAAACCCAGAGAGTTGCCTTTCAACTTAATCTCAAAAACTAGTAGAAATAATTGGGTAGACTTGAGCTTATACCATGCATTATTTCTAAGTGTCAATTTTAGCTGACCAGATCTCTGCAAAGATGAGAAAGTCAATTATGAAGGCCTGAGCTAGATTCAAAGTCACTTATATCATGTCATATATGTATTTCATGACTATTGTTTTACAGGGTATTACAGTACTATTAAATGCCTAGCCAACATGCCCCATACCCCCAAGCCCCAAAACACTTGAAACAGCCTTGTATCTGTAGTAATAAAAATGTTTCTGCTCATACATATTTCTACTAAAATACTGTAGGTATATATAAAAAGCCATTAGTCTTCCTATTCATTTATTATAAAGCTTACCTCATCCAGGTAAGCAAGTTACCAGGTTAGATTGAAAATATCCCAATACCTAAATGTTACACATATTAGCACATCTTCATTTAAAAGGAAAAATAATAAATGTTAACACACACAGGCAAGCAATATCTTTCTGTGTGGCAAATATTTTTGTAATTCAGGCTTATACTTATTGGCTTCATTTGAAGGTATTTGGGAGGGCTGGTTAAAAAACTCAAGGAATAGTACAAATTGATAGATCAGCTACATTTTTGAAATAGTACAAATTGATAGATCTGTTACCTATCTGCTATAATTTTACTCTAAATTAAACAACCCATATTATGTATCATCTTATCTGACTTAAAAACTTGCATAACTGTTCCCCTACTACTGCATACAAAATACCTTAAAATATCATGTGTTTTTTGGGATAAACATTACCAAGTTAAACTCTGCACTGAGTTTCTTCTGGCTCCCATTGAGGTTTTATAAATAGTACTTCTGGTTCAGTAGCCAAGAAAGTTAAATATTACCTCTCACCTAAGATTCTATATCTTCCTGACTATTTCTGAAAAACGAGTATTTGAGCCTAAAAATGGGGGGAATGTTAAGCTCTTAGAGGAAGATCAGTTTTGTGAATTAAATTTTGTGAATAAAAAACTAGAAAACTCAGATTTAAATTCAGTAGAGTAGTATCTTTAATGAACTTTTATCAGGTGCCAAGTAGCCATTCAGATACCATTTAATTAGATGAACTTTTGCATATAAAGCAAATAAAGCAAAGACATTCCAAATAAATATATCATGTACTATACAAAGGAGAGTAAATTATCAGTCCTGTTTTTAATAAACCACTTTAAGGGCTAGGAATGTAATCTAATCTAAGCCTGACTCAAGAGCCCATACAACCTCTATCATTAAATAATTCCATCTAACTAGGGATGATCATTTACCTACTAATGCACAAACATGAATTCTGCATTTGTAGGTTGAAGATTTAGAACTCTACTATTCTTAGGATAGATGCCTATCCTATTTTCATAAGAAAATACATTTTCACCAAAGAAAGGGGTCCTAAAAACTTATAATTTTCAGAGCCCTGCACTGAAATGACGTTTTAAAAAATCCACAGCATTTATCCCTAGTTGTCCTTTTACTGTGCCATATTTTACATACCTCACCCAACAAACTATGAAGACCCTTCTAAATTTTTTCCTTCACATGTGCATACTGACCAAATTATTAGAGAGAAACTATTTTATGTATGAGGGGGTTCTTAAAGGTACATACCATTAATTACTTTTCCTCCCCCAAGTCTGAGTTCTGAAACTGCTCCTTCATTGACAGATGGGCAGCAGTTACAGTAATCGGCAATTCCAGGAAGCATCAGATGTTGTGATCTACATATCAGCAGGTCAAAGGGGATGCACTCAAGCACTCTGCTTACTGAAGGAAGGCGTTTCGGGGATGCAGAGAGCCACTGTAATATATGAGACAAGTGACTTGACCCCTGCCTCCTTTAGAACCAGTTTTATTCAGCAAAACAGCTTAATAAATTGACTATTTCTGTGATTATCATAGACTGCCTGGGGAGCTAGTCAGCTAGCTAGCCTGGATTTTACTATACCCACTTTTTTAAGTGAAAAAAGAAAGGCAACTAGAACTTCAGTAGATAAATTTGCTGCGTGCTGAGTAACTTTATTCTATAGGAAAGACAGTATATAAAGAGATAAAAATGGAAGCCTTACTGGCAAAATGGAAGTCATTGATAAAATGCAGAAAGAGTATTTGTCATAAGTGAAAGGGCAAATTCATAACCAGAATAAGACATTCCATAAGAGAAACACAAGAAAACAAAGAAGGCCACAAACTCAATCAGTTTGACCAGACTTTTCAGCAAACATAAAAGGCAGTATTAAACATGTTAAGCGCCCAGCCTGTTTTGTCTTCCGGATGGTAGGTATAGAGTCAGTCACCGGTGACTGACTGGGCGCTTAACGTGTTAAGTATCAATGACCTGAGGTATATCCCAGAAAGCAGAGGAAAAAAAAAAAAAGAATTTTAAACCCATGCTAAATAGAAGCTGTAACTAGTCAATAGAGACAACAATTATAGGTAGAAGCAGATATCCAAACACTTACCAGAATTTTATCTAATCTTAAATGATGCCTTCCACCTTTTAGCAGTTTTTAGTTTACACAGACCTAAATCTAGTGACCAAAATGATTTTTTTCCCTCATGATAGACTAAGAGGAAAAGAAACTGTGATAAGGTTTAATTAGGAAGAACATTCTGTATGGCTACCTGAACTGTTAGAACTTAAGCTTCTAAATCTGTGCCAACCAATAAGGTAGTCATACAGGCTATTTCATTACCTAAAATTAAAGATTCAGATTTTTAGCCATATTTTAAACATTCAATAGCCACATGCGCCTAGTGACTCCAGTATTGCACAGCAGATACAAAACATTTTCATCATTTCAGAAAGTTCTATTGTACAGTGCTGTTCTGATGGTTATAGAAGTGATTTTACAGATAAATGAGCCCCCCAGGGCATTTGTGTTCTTACTACAAGGCCTATCAGAACTTCCACTACAGATCATGTCACTATAAGGCAATTCTGTCCAAGCTCTGGCAATTTATTCTAGAAATATTAAAAAGACCTCATAATCATGCTGTTTCAACCTTCACCCCCAACTTCCCCTTGATCAGTTCCACACAGACCCTTTCTCCCACTGCCCAGGAGGCAATATATACAACCTTGCACACAATGTTTCTTTTTTAATTCTTAAAAAAAAAAAAAAAGGACTGCTTTTAAATTGGTGAAAGATGGGATGTGCCAGGATCTTCCCTTGAGGCAAGAAGTTGGTCTGGGAGTGGGAAAGATTGCTCTCCAAACATTTCTTCCTTATTGACTAGCACCCTAAAATCTATTGGCCTGACTTCTACAAATTAAAAAAGGGTCCCGTTTTCTGTGTTTTTAAAAAATAACATACCAGGCAAGTTTTGTTCAGTGATTAGAGTCAACCTGGGGGCTGCAGTGTCTCAGGTTCTGTTCCCGGTCAAGGGCATGTACCCAGGTTGCAGGTTCCCCAGCTCCGGTAGGAGCTTGTGCAGGAGGCAACCAATCAATTCATCTCTCTCACATGATGCTTCTCTTTCCTCCCTTCCTTCCACTTTCTCTAGAAATCAATGGAAAAAGATATCCTCAGGTGAAGATTAAAAACAAACAAACAAACAAATACCATCGCAGCAACTTCATTAGAGTTTATCCTAAATCTAGAATTTGAACCTGAAAATATTCAACATCTTAATTATACCCACATAAGCTCTTTCAGAATCCTGAATCTGGACTTCATGTAAAATAATTTTCATTTGTTTGCAGTTCTAATATTCCTAAAATATTAATAACTTTAAAAGGCAAAAAATGATAGAGGGAAAGAATTACTTAGATAAGACAAAGATGATTCAAGTTTTGTACTGAATCAGTAAAGAAAGAGCATCTAATAAAAACACCTTTTAAAAGTTTCCAAAACATGAGGTTCAAAACTTTAAGTCTCAAATTTGTTAAGATGGAAGTCATATATATTTACAAATCTTTTATGTGGAGTTTTCATTAATCAACCTAGTGTTCTGAGAAATAATAGATATTTACTATTATGACTTCATTTGTCTTGAGACAACCCCTGCCCAGGACAGGATTTTAAAAGCAGGTTTCATACATACTGAACTCTCCCATGACAAACAAAACAAGTTAGTATCCCTTTCACATAGATTCAATTTAACTTCAACAAGTGTCAACAACTACACTGAAAAACCTACCCTTTAAGTTCAAACATGAAGTAACATTTATGCAGAAAACAAGTATCTTTTATATTTTTATAATGTGCTTTCAATACAAAGTGTTACCTGCTAGCTTTGATACACACACACACTCTCTCATTTTCAAAGACTTGTGGCATTAAAAAGTATTTTAATCAGGTTTTATCTTTCTCCTTTAATTTTAGTTACTTTTTGAACTAAACTTCCTTTGCCAGGTCTTTAAATGTAAAAGTACTTTCCACTGTAAAGTTATATATCTCTTCTCTAGTAAATCTGAGACTTCTAAAATCAACTTATTATTAAATGAACACACAAGATTTACATAACAAAGGACAATGCTTCACTCATTTTGATGTATGCAAACTGAGGAAACAACCCTACTTTTACAGCCAAGGATGCCTATGTGAATACACACAAAGGGAAAGGGTAAACACCACCTCCAAGGAGTGCCTTGGACACCTGTAGTCCTAAGCAAGAAATCATTTGAAAAAGACAGAACTACTCTTTTTGTATAATGTAGCGGTAAGTGTCCCCTCATACTTACTTGTAAATCTTTTTTTAATTTTAGCAAATCTTCATTTTCTCCATTTCCAGACAGGGCAGCTTCAACTTGCTGGAGTTGAGCTTTGTAGCTTGCCAGCTGTTTTGCTAGATCCTCTGACATCTGGAGGGGAAAAGGGCAAGGCCATGAAAACTGAACAACAAAAACACACAAACATTGCCCTAGCCAGTTCTGCTCAGTGGGTAGAGCCTCCGTCCCCACACTGACGGGTTCCGGGTTCGATGGCAGTCAAGGCTGCAGGCCCTGACCCCCAGCACCTGGGGGAGGCAACCAATGGATGTTTCTCTCTCTCTGTCTCCCCTTTCCTTCCACTCTTATCTCTGAAAAAAAAAAAAATCAATAGAAAAATATTCACGGGTAAAGATTAACCAAGAAAAAAAAAAAGACAGAAAAATATCCTCAGGTGAGGATTAACAACAAAAAAGCCCACAAACATTTTTAAAAAAAATTCCTTGTCTGCCTGAATTAACCTTACCAATGTCGCTCCCAACTCATTGCAATTCATTGCAGCTTAGTTTATCACCATCACCTCTACTCTTAGTTTCAGAGAAAAGCTGATGTGGGAACTAGAGAAATTCTAATTTTCTTTAAATTCCTGTAATAAGGAAAGCACTGTGGTCGGTTCATTTAAAAGGATTATTAGATCGTCACCGGCCTCCCCCCTCAAAAGACATTAATCTGTTGGAGTGAAGACTTCTAAAAATATATTTACTACAAGCACTAAAGAATACTTCCAAAGCCAAATAGGAATGGCTTTTGGATTAACTACACAAATAACTGTCTCTACATGAGCTTCTCTATTAATGAGTGTGTTTAGAAGCTCTTCTCCGAGCTAAAGTCTTCCGCCCAGTCACTTCAATAATGCCGGCTTGTTTCCTTCCGGGCAAGGACCAGCACAAACACTCTCATCTGGGCATTCCGGGACGAGCCTTCCCGCAAGTCCTCCTCCTCCTCCTGGAAGTAAGGTGCGAGCGCATCCGCTCCCGGTGTACGAGCGCACGCCCGGGGCTTCGGGGCCCTCGGTCTCAGCTCCCGTCAACGACAGGCTGGGATCTGGAAGGGCTCCAAGGGGTGCGGGCAGGCCGGGCTGCTCGCCTCCCATCCACCCGCCCCCCAAAGCCCGCCACAACGTGGCCGATCATCTCAGACCTCCAAGTAATTCAAACATCAGCTTCCAGGGACGCCGAGCGGACGCCCGCGGGGCCGGGACCCCCACACCCCCAACAGGCTCCGCCGGAAACGGCCCCGGTCGCCCTTCAGAAGCCTCCCGCGTCCCAGCCCCACCCGACGGGTTCCCCGGCTTAGCCACATTCGCCGCCGCGGCCCGGAGGCCCCGACCCCACCGGCGCCGCTCAGGGCCCAACGCTGAGTGGGTGAGGAGGCCCGGGCTCCCGACACTGTGGCCGGCGGCCAGGCCTCTCCGGCGCGGCCGGCTCCTGGGCCTCGGGCCTCCCCTCCACTCGGGAGAGGCCGCGGCCCGGAGAGGCCTCACTCCTTCCCTCACCGGGTTTGTTACCTTGTGTGGGGTTAGGGTCGGGGCGGCGGGAAGGGGTCGGGGCCAATGAGCCCAGGGGTGGTTGCGGCAACAGTAGCCGCAAGAAAAATCTCCCCGGCGACACCAAGGCGGCGACTCTGAAAAGAACTCGGTCGGCGGTAAGGGGGAGGGGAGGGAAGCCCGGCACTGGGAGGAGGAAAGACAGAGGCGATGAAATTTCGCGAGAGTTAAAAGCCATCGCGAGACGCCGCTCGAGTCACGTGACTCGTAACGCCCAATAGGCCGCCAGCCCTTACTTGCGTTAGGGACGCAGAGTGGGCGTGGTTTAATGGGACGGAAATTGCGTCGCTGGACGGCGCCTGGCGCCGAGTGCAGGTTCGTCCTTCCAGTTCCGGCTGGGCGTTGGGGCGTCGTGGGCTTCTTTTGGGACTGGGTGTCGGCGTCCTGCTTGAGGTTCCCTGGGTAGTCATGGCGCGTACCGCCTTCGGCGAGCAGCGCTGGGGGGTGGGAGTAACGGGGTTTAATGCAGCAATTGCACTAGGAGTTGCTTCTCCAAGTGTGGTCGTCCGCTCAAGTTTGAGAACCACCGCTTTTTATAATCATGAAAACCTAAGTCGTAACAACAAAAAACTAAATTGTGGCCGAACCTATTGGAGGTGTATTTATTTTAAGCCTATTTTATTAGAACAGATGTGTTTTAAATTCACTATATGGGTTCTATCTCGCTTGGTAGAGAACAGTCTCCAAGTTCTAGTCTTGAGTGGTAAACGGTGGTGTGACCGCTTTCATTTATGTTTAAAAAGGAATGTGGCCTGTCCCGCCGGCGTGGCTCCTTAGTTGAGTGTCGACCTGTGAACAGGAGGAGGGTCAGGGCACCTGCCAGGTTGTGGGCTTGATCCCTAGTGTGGGGAGTGCAGGAGGCAGCTAATCAATGATTCTCTCTCATTGATATTTCTCTCCCTCCCTCTCCCTTCCTCTCTGAAATCAATAAAAATGTTGTTGTGTGTGTGTTTTTAAAAAAGAATGTGGCCCTAGTCAGTTTGGCTCAATGGATAGAGCATCAGTCTGCGGACTGAAGGGTGGCGGGTTCCATACCCATCAAAGGCGCGTGTGCCCTGGTTTCAGGCTGGGTCCCTAGCCTGTCGGGGCGAGGGGGAGGCAACAAATCAATTATCTCTCTCTCACATCGATGTTGCTCTCTGTGTCTCTCCCCTCCCTTCCACTCTCCAAAAATTAATAGCAAAAGATTCTCGAGTGAGGGTTAACAATGGAAAATATCCTCAGGTGAGGGTTAACAACAAAAAAGGGAACGTGTTTGAAGCGGTTGTGTTTCTAATAGTATATATCATGTTACTTCTGAATGGTTACAGGAGATTGGAGTGAAAGCCAGATGTTTTCACTGATTACCCCTTTTACTATTTACCCTTTTTTCTATACATATGCAACCTTTTTCCAGTTAAACTAGTTATTAAAAAAAAAAAAAGATAAAGACCCATGACACAAAAAGACCAGGAAAGAACTTTCTCTGGGAGGTTGGGGTCTGTTGCTAGAACCTAAAGGCCCTCTTCCCAGGTGGGCTAACTCTTTTGGTCTGTGGCATCTTTGCCTTAGTGTCTTCTTGGGGGTTTGTTTGTTTGTTTGTTTTGAAGGGATCTTCCCTTTTCTTCTCTACTTACACACACATATCCCTCATATTGAGTCGTAATCTACAGAGATGGCAATTTGTGGTGACTGGAGTGACAATTTGCAGGAACTGGACATGCTGCAGGGGGCAGCAGCATGCAGCTAGCTTTAAGGAGGAAGACACACCAGAAAGGATGAACTTTTCCTTAATATATAGTAGACGTTTGTTTAAAATACAGTGTAGTTTTTGACAACTGCTCTTATTCTAATTGTGTATTATTAAAATTAATGCCAGAAGACTCTTCCTTGAATATAAAAAAAACTTTGCAGTTGTGTAAAAATCTCTCAAGTAACAACTCTTCACAAATCTTCTAGATGAGAAGATAGGAAAATATTTATTATAAGCTCCAGTATAGATTTCTTTATCATCTGGATAGTTTTTGTTTTCAGGATTGCTTTTAGTCTCTCCCTCTGTGCAACATAGGTTATATTGGGGGGGGGGGTATCTTAAATTTTAGTTCCTCACAAAGAAATGGTAATAGTTGTATACATGGTGCCATTTTTACATGTATTCATTTAATTTTCACAATGATTCTATGTGCTATTAAAGACATGATTCTATGTGCTATTAAAGACAAAACTGGAGCAAATATAAACTGATTTAAGAGTATTACTTCAAATAGGTGTTCTGTCTTCCCACTTCCTTTGAAGTATCAAAATCTGCTTTCAGTGTCGGATTTTTAAAACATTCTCTTTCAACCTGGCCAGCGTGGCTCAGTAGTTGAGTGTCGACTTATGAACCAGGAGGTCAGGGTTTAATTCCGGTCAGGGTACAGGATCGAAGCAGGTTGAGGGCTCAATCCCCAGTGTGAGGTGTGCAGGAGACAGCCAATCAGTGATTCTTTTTCATAATTTATGTTTATATTTCTGTCTCCCTCTCCCTCTCTGAAATCAATACAAATATACTTTTAAAAATTCTCATTCAAATTTAGTCATGTGTATTCTTCAAAAAGAGCAATCTAAAATCTCTAGTTCTTTAAACCTAGTATTTATTTTGGTGAAAGTCAGTAGTAAATAAAATGTAAAGACTCCAAAATTGTCATTAGAATATATTATTTCACTTTTACCTATCTTTCAAAGAAAACACTTAAACTGCTAAAATTAAACTATAGCAGTTGCCTTTGGAAATGTGCCAGTCCACTGCAGGGCACAATAAACTAATATAGTCCACGTCAGCGGTCGCCAACTGGTGGTCCACGGATCACTGGTGGTCCGTGAGGTCCGAAAGGTTGGCGACCACTGGTTTAAGGAAACCTTTGGAGCAGTGGTCGCCAACCGGTGGTCTGTGGACCACTAGTCCGTGAGGTCCGAAAGGTTGGCGACTGCTGGTCCATGTTGTATTCCTTCTGACTAAGCGTAGCCCCAGGTTTGCCCACATTTTTTTGTTCCCTCAACAAATGCCTGAGGAGATGAATTAGAGATGTGTACACAGTCATAATTGCTTATGCTCTTTGCCCTCCTTAGTCATAATAGGTATTTTGAATGTTTGGATGGGGGTTTGCTGCACAGCAAGCTACTGTCTTTTTGTGCTTACTGAGTATTTGGGGGTCCAGTGCCTTGAAAACATACCCTTGGATGACTTACAGGGCATCATTCACTTGAGGTTGATGGAAAAACAACCTTAAATGGGTGCTGACCAATGCAGGTGCTCATCAGTCAAAGCATCCCTGCTTTGTTCACACAAGTCTGCATTGCCTTGCCAGTCTCAGGATGTGCATCCCCAGCTATTCTGTTTTAACGAACAGAAAACTGCCACTGAAAACAGGCAGCAAGGATTCTTCCAGCTCGGAGAAGACTATGATCAGAGGCTTTACAAGGATCAGAAATGGCAGGGTCATTCACGGTTCTTTAGACCCTATATGAAAGTGGTGTTTAACAGTAAAAAAAAAAATACATTCTTTGTGGGGTATATTCTGAGGGCAAAAAGAACAAAAACAAACTCACGTCACAGATGTATTGCCAATAGTACTATTGATAATGTAATTTTGAAACTTTCATGTCTAGTATAGATAAAGTATATAATATATGTATGCTAGTTAAAACTCTTAAGAGGAAAGAAAAATAGAAAATAAAGAGTTTTTTGGGGGAAGCCCTCTAGTGACATATATGATGTTATGTTACCCAGTGGAGAGTGCCCAATATCTTGATGTCTAGATACCATTGCCCACAAAAGAAACAGCATTTCTCCAAGAAGCGGTTGATTTCAGGTCTCAGGCCCAGAAAGTACAAAAGTGAGCCTGGAACATCTTGCCAGAAAGCAAGGAAGGGCCCCAAAACTAATAGGATCAAGTCAAAAGTTCACCGACCAGCTTGAGGGGACTCTATTAGCCAGATGTGAATCAATGAGTTTTAAAAGCATAACGAATGCCACATATTATCAAAGCATTGAATATATTTTTAGAATCCATAAGTTCAAAGTGATAATCAAAATCGAAGGTGGGGGGAGGGCTTTTTTTTCTTTCTAGAGGAGTGCCAGGCAATAAATGTAAATGGAACGATAGAATTGGAAAAATCACCATGTGCAGTCCCCAGTGATTTAGGCATAGGTTAGCCATAGAAGCTAAAACCCATCTTGTAAAAGGAGATAGGGAAAAGGAAGATGTTTACAAAGTGTCAGTATCACCCCCACAGAGTACTTAGTAATTACAAAGGGGAATATACACCATATAATGAAGAAATTCAAGTCACCAGCTTAACCTAGTGATCATACTTACCACCACTAATGGTGGAACAACCTGACTTTAAATGCCTCTTGATTTGATGCAATGTTACGTAACAACTTCACTTATGAAGAAGCCTTGCCCAAAATACTTAACCTGAATACCATCAAGCCTTTTGACCCAACTTCCCGTTTACAGGGGTAGAGGAACAAGTAAAATAACCCTGAGGGAAAACTCGGGCAGGTCCAGAATGTGGGACATTCCATAAGAAAACTGACCTAAATTCTTCAAGTCAATATTATTAGTAATAGTGGAAGACTGTTCTAGATTGAGACAAAAGACATATCAATGAAGTGCAATGGGTAAAGCTTGGTGAGTCTCATCTTGGAAAAACAAAGCTATAAAAGAAACTTTGAGGACACTTTAGGAAATTTGAATATGAACTAGATATTAGATGATATTGAATTACTGTTAATTTTATTAGCTGTGAAATTTACATAGGTTACTTACAATGTCCTATTTAGGTATTTAGGGATGAA